TTTGTAAGCAAGTTATTTCCTGCAAATGTTTCAAAGTTTATTATTTTGTTTTCAAAAAATCTAAAATATTTTGTATCTGTTTATGAATAATATGCAACAAAGTATGAGGGAGTTAGCATAAATGTTTTAAGAATTTGAAGTTAAATGTTTTGAAACAAATCAAATACTTCGGCAAATTTCTAAGTAATATAACTTGCTACTCAAATGCAGTCAATCTTTTTATTTTCTATCATACTGTAACACAATTTTCTTGGCAACCCATATGTAATCAAATATAAGCTATAACTTCACAAAAATAAATAAAAAGAAAAAATAATTATAAAATGTTAAAGAGAGAGTGACATAGTCTATTAATCTGGTAATTTTAATACCTATCATAACTAAGCAATTTTTCCAATTAGAAATATCCTCCAGCAAAAACAATTTTGGAGGGAGACAGTGAAACTCTGGCAATCCTTACTTTCAATGTGACCAAGAGTTATACAAAAGAATCAGTCTTTCACAACTTTGATCATTGCCTAATGAGAAAAGTCATAGCTCTTGAGCAGAACACTACCTTCCCCTTTATTACTCTTCTGTAAATTAAAATAGTGCAAACCTTTTGCTACCAAAAAAAGAAAAAAAAAAAGGACAAGGCTATCAGCAAAGAATATGTAAAGTGAAAATGAATGTGGGAATCTAGTCTTCAAAAAAAAAAGAGATATATAAGGAGGCTGGAGGTGTGGCTCAAGTATAAAGTACTTGCCTAGCAAGCTCATGGCCTTGAGCTTAAACCCCAGTACAACAGAGAAAGAGACTGAGACTGAGAGAATATGAATGCTTGAGCTAGGGGTATGGTTCAGTAGTAGAATACATGCTTAGCACGTGCCAGACCCTGGGTTCATCCCCAGCACCCCTCCAAACAGAAACAGATGTTTATCTCAAAAGGTAAAATAGGTATTTTGACAGATATCAGAACTCTTGAGTTTTAATTCATAGTCTGAAAACCTGAGCCAGGTGTGATGGTGCACAGCTGTAATAATACCAGCACTCAGGAGGATCACAAGTTCAAGACAAGCCTGAGCTACACAGTATGAGACACTGTCTCAAAAAAAGAGAGAGAAAAGAAAAGAGACAAACCTAGATCAGTATTATGTGTACCAATGTTTTAAGAATCCAAAAAAAAAATGAACCCTGTAAGCCAAACTCATTTTAAAGCAATATTATGCCCTATGCTCTTCACACTTCTGATTTCAGGTTAGGCCTATAGCAGATTTTCCTGATTATACAAAAATTTTATCAGTCCTCACTTCTACACTAAAGAAAAGTTTCAGGTTAAAGAAATGAAAAAAAAAATTTTTAAAAGACACAAGAGGAAGGAAGGCAAGAGGGGCAAAGGATTTTAAAGACTTAAGTCGAGGATGACAAACAGATGTGATGTCACACGACTGGTCCTTGGGTCCGTGAGCAGGTGTCACCAAGTTATTCTTAAACTTCCCCTCAAGCTACCACAAGTTTTCACTAAGTATAACTAAATGAATTCCGGTCTCTAGTAAAGTAAACATTTAAGTCAAATCAGATTTTGATCTCCCAAATCCACTTAAACCCAAATCTTACCCTTATTACTGCCCAGTTTTCCCTACCTTACTCACCCTACTACCTCCTCCCTCCTGCTCAGTCTCCCACAGAAGTAAAAACATTTACTCTAGCCAGGCGCCAGTGGCTCATGCCTATAATCCTAACTACTCAGGAGGCAGAGATCAGAAGAATCCTGGTTCAAAGCCAGCCCAGCAAGGGCCAATAGTTCTTGATACCCTAGTTCGAAAAAAAAACCATTACAAAAGAACTGGTGGAGTGGCTCAAGATGTAGGCCCTAAGTGCAAGTCTCAAACCGCCAAAAAAAAAAAAAAGTTTACTTAGAGAAAATTGTTTGCTTCAAGGTAACAAACATTTAAGGTAAAAAAAAAAAACTGTCCTTGGTTTGTGTCATTTCAAACACTTTGTTAGAAAATGAGAGTTTGCTAAAGTCCTGTCACTAACTACTATATATGAGACAAAGTAGATCTGTTTGATGTCTTAATGGTCCCCAAACTACAAGACCACCCTAAAAAAGCAATATTGTCGATACTCAACCATTTCTTTTAATTCTACACAAGTGGGAAGAACAGAGGCCCTAGACCTCTAGCATAACAGTAGTGACTCAGTATTAAGGCAATATGTTGCCTTAAAGTGACATATGGCCCAAGTATCAACTGAGAACAGCCCAGTCTGTCAAAAAAGCTAAGGTCTAACTTGACAAACACATAAAATGTGCAACACACATCCTCCAATTATCTAGTCTACCTTAGTCCCATAATGGCTAAAATAAGATCCAAAGGAACAGCTGTGACAGAGGTACAGAAGCAGCACACTAACATTAAGGTATTTTCCCAAAACCACTCTTAATTATACCAAGTCAACCAAAAGAAGTTAATTATATTTCTTTAAGTTGGTCCCGTAGTGCTCTACCCCAAAAACATTCCCTTCTGCTCTAAGTATATAACCTTATTCAAGTTATATTAAGTGCTTAAAGGTACGAGGGAAGGACAGATCTCTTAAGCAGCTGGATCCAGAACCAGTAAGGACATTTAAGATAATTCCTTTAGACTTACATTTGTATCACATACAAAAGATGCCTATGACAAAGCTTTCAGCAAAAGTTGTCTGTTCCCACAAAGAGAAATAATACTACATCCCAGCTAAGGTGTGAGGAAAGAGGAGTACCTTAAAAAATAAATAAATAAACACACTGATAGATTCCTCTGTTTTAACAGAGTTCTAGTAGTTTGTCTTCAGAAATAGCTTCCAAGTTAAACATACCACACTGGACATCTCAACTTTGGGTGTCAGGAAATTAGGACAGCTGCAACCCACAAATTTTACAACAGGAATATTTATTTTGGCAGCAACAATATAATCATATATCAGGTTATTCTGTGTTCTCTATAGTTATGCAGTATGAGTAACGACTTGTGGAAGGATATTTGAAATATGGAGAATTTCAAAGTTCCTTGGAACATCCTAAAATTTAAATGTTGCCATGACATTTTCTCACATCCAAACTCTGGTGAGGTTGCAATGGAGGCTACATTTTTAAGCCTGTAAACTAACCAATAGTGCAATTCTAGTCTACTTTTTCATCATCCTGGATGAAGTGTTGCAATGAGAGCAGTATTTATATTTAGTACGCTAGCTTCTCTTACCTGACAAAAGAAACTTCAAAAGTTACAAGAACAAATCCGTTAAACATTCAAATAGAAAATAATATGCCAACAAGTACTCCACTGAAATGGATGTGAATCGGGTTAGTAATTCCTCACTTTGAAGTTTACATTTTCCCCTTCTTCCTTTCCTTATCCCTTCAGTGTTCAGTATCAAGTATTTTAAAACAAAAGTCCCACCATAAAGTTCATTTGCTAGCTGTTCCTTTTTGAAGTTGCAAGAAAGGCCTAGGATACTTTGCATTAAACATAAACACCTATGTGTCAATGCCATACTTACTAAAGCAACCTACTCTGTAATCTGCACCCCACTTTATGGTATCCTACCACAGAACATCCAGAAAATTAAAACAGTATGATCTACAGCTTCTCTTCAAGCATATTTACAAGAATTATCTCATAGAAACCATCCTCTTTAATATGACTTCTAAAAACCCCATGCCCACAAGCCAATGACTGGTTTATAAACAAGGTAATGACTAGTTCAATGGAAAAGTATTCTGACAATAAGCTGAGACTGTCTCACCATGCTATGATCTGCTTGCCTAATATGTATGTTTAGCTACTGGAGTCAGCAAGGTCCAAATATAAATTTGAAACATTTAATGGCCAGTTCTGTTCTAGACTTCAAGCTCATCTTACCTGTTCAAAACACAGTTTTTACATCTATGGTGCTCCACAAATACTTTTTTTTTTAAGAAAATATATTCCCTAGAGTGGGAAGGAAGGCTCTTAAGAAACAAATTTTCCCAAAAATACAAAAAACAAATATGATATCCAAATATTGAGAAATCAAGTGTTTCTGAAAATCTCTACTTTCGCAAATTAAATTATTTTGGAAATAAGAGTTCCCAACACTTCACGAATGCAGCCATAACTATACCAAGAAATAGCTTGTTGATTTAAAAGTAAACAATTTTGGTTAAATTTCAATTGCTGGAAAGTGGAATGAAGACATAAAAGACACAATAAAACTCTGGAAACATTTTTTTTTTAAAAAGGTCAGTCATATTTTGTTTCATGATCTATCTAAACCTTATCATTGCTCATTGTATAAAATTAGCACTGTACTTGCAAACATAAGCAGAATCTAGACTTATCAAACATATGGTGAGACTTCCCCAGCTTCTGAAATATTAATGAGAATGAAGTATTAAAATATTTTTCTTGATAAACAAAACCTCACTGATCCTACTGAAAAGTTTTCATCAAAAATCTGATCAGAAAGGGATCTTAAAAATTTGTAAAGCATCCAGCAATTAAAACCTTGAAATTAAAACAGTTTGGATAATAAGTACTTGTACTTCAGACGCTATAGATTACAAGCAAATACTTAAAACAGAAAAAAAAAAATCAGCCGATCTGCAAAAAGCTAGAAGGTACGAACTAGTAAGCACCGACAGGTTTGCCGGCTAACTTTGCCAGCCATGTACCAGAGAGACATCAAAACAAAGTTGACAATAGAACCAACCATGACCCTTTCCCAGTAAACTGAACCATACCCTGAAATCTCAAAGAAAAAAAAAAAAAAAACTCTGCTGCTGCTAATAGAAGCTCCTTAGAAGCATCGAACTGGCAGGTGGAAAAATAAATTCCCTAGCAGGCCAGCAAGAGGTTGTGACAACACGGTTCAAGGACTGGACGTGTCGTGACCACTCGGTAACAGGTCCGAGGTAAGTTACGCACACACCCTGCAGCTCAATTCCTCCAGCCAGCCGAGATGAGACTGGGAAACAACAGGCTTCCCCGACATCCACATACCATGTTAGAGCAGGTCTCCCCCGCGACAGGAAAACACACGTTCTCATCCCGAGACTTTCGGCGACTTCTGCCGGGGCGGCGCAGGGGAAGCGGACGGCCGCCGCCGCCGTAACGAGAGAAGCCGGCAACAGCCCCGCCGCGCGGCCGCCACGCCTTCCCCCCGCTGCCGCCGCTGGGGACGCGGAGCCGCGGATCACATTTCTCCTCCCCAACAATCACACGCACGCACGTCCCCAAGGGTTGACACCCTCCAAACCCGCCGCCCGGGGACGGGGCCACCGAGCCCGGCGAGGCGGGGGTGGGGGGGTGGAGGAGGGCACACAGCCACCCGCCGGGCGCTGCTTGCGGTGGCGCGTTGCGGGCGTGCGCGCGCGTGTGTGGTGTTCGTTCCCCTTTGATGAAAGGGAAGAGGTCTCCGTAGTTACGGCCTAGGGCGGCCGAGGGGGAGGGAAGAGAGTGTCGTTCCCCGCCACCCCCGCGCTGGGTGGGGACTAAACAAAACTTCGGTTGCTGGGAAAAGCCCTTGCGCAACCTTGGCAAGCGGAGGCCGGAGCCCGGCGGTCCCGGCCAAGGCGGCTTCCCGAAGGCTGCGCCACCGCGCGCACGAACCACGGCGCGGCCCCCGCGGCCTCGGGCCTGGCGCGGCAGCGCGGGACTCTGGGGAGCCGCACACACAGGCGCTGGGGCGGAAACGGGGAGCACGAGCGCGCCGGGGATGTGGATGAGGACAAATAGGCGCGACGGCTGCGGGCCGCCCTGGGAGTCGGGTCCTCGGGGGGTCAGGGCCACCCTCCCCGGGTGGCGGTGTCCCTGGCCCAACTCCCTTACCTTCCTAGAGGCCCGCACTCTCCCCTCTTCGGGTGGCCGCAGCCCTGAGCATGTCCGGGGTGGGTCGCGGGGGCCGTTCCGGAGACAGGGAGCCAGGCGCTTCAGCAGGCGGCACCACCCAGCCCGGGCTCAGCCCCTCTCCGCGGCCGCTGCCATCTTGTCCTGGCGGCTGAGAGGAAACGGCCAAACACCCTCCCCCGACCGCTGCTGCTGCTGCTGCTGCTGCTGCTCTGGCTGCTGAGCGCCGGGCCCGTCTCCCTCATCTTCCCTCTCGAGGATCGGGGGTGGGAACGGCTTGGCTGGGCGAGGGGTGGTGACAGGCCTCCGCGCTGGGGCCTACGGGCGGCGCGGGGTGCGGGGCCCGCGGCGGTTGGGGCCCATTGCTGACACCCCGGAGGCAGCGCGAGGAGAACGAGGAAGACACCGAAGAGGAGGTGACGCCGGGGCCCGCGGCTGGCTCTCCTTGGGGCGCCGCGCTGCCGGCAGTCGTCACCGAGGCAGCTGCCGCCGGCCGCCTCAGTCTCGGGCCCCTCCTCCTCCTCCTCCTCCTCCACCTCCTCCTCCTTCTGCTCCGCGCCCACCGGCCTCGGCCGCCGCCGCCGCCGCCTCCTCCGCAGCGCCACCGCCTGCTCGGCCGCGCTGTGCGCCGAGCCCCGGCGGCCCCGCTCCGCTCCTCCCGGGCTGCGGCGCCTCCGCGAAGCCCCTCCCCGGGGTCCGCCCGCAGCCGCGCCCTTGACGCTCGAAGCCCGCCTGGCTGCCGGCGCGGGTGGGACCCAGACCTCGCTCACGCCGTCCCTCCCGCACCCGTCACCACCACCGCCCCGCTCTGCTGCCCCGAACCCCACTCTCTAGCCCCACTCCGCCAAAAATACACATTTAAAAAAGATCCTAGCACCCAAAGAGAGGATTCAATGCGGAAGCAGGATTTTTACAGGCCTTTCCAGATCCACCAATAATCATCTCCCTTTCCACCCCTTTGGGATCTGTTTCTTGGAAGGTTTTTTTTTTTGTTTTGTTTTTGTTTTTTTAGGTCCAAAAGTAAGGAACGGATAAATGCTTAGTCAAATGAATCTCCATCTGAAATAGGTCCTTCCAGCTCCCTCATCCCAAAGCGTCAAGTGAACTGTCAAACCAAGTGAAAGAAAAGGAAAAACCCCTTTAGAAATTTCCGAAGCGCACCTCTACAGTCCAAAACCCATAATTGTGAAGCTCACCCACCTCTGCGTTGGTAATTCTCCATCAACTTAGTTCTGCCCCCAAACACCAAGTTTCCACACTCCTGGAGACTAGGAAATCAACAGAGTGGCCCATTGCAACCCACATAATCATAGAACCATGGAATTTGAGAGCCAAGAACCTTTATGGTCCTTGGTCCAAACTCTTACCCTAAGAGTTTAGAAGTTTAGGTGAGATGACCAAGGTTATAGAGCAAAGCCTTAGTCTAAGCAACCCCTCCTTCAGCAATCCCGTTTTCTTTTCGTTAGTGACTGTTTCCTTGGATCCCTAGCCTTTTAGCAACTCAGGCACCTTTCTCGCTGGAAATGGAAGTGTCCTTTGCTTCCTTGATAATGTTCACAAGAGAAATGAGTTTACCATGGACGTATATCACCGGACATTTTCTATTGCAGCATCTGGGGCAGGGTAAAGGGAGTGGCAACTTGATACATATACATAAATACCACGCAGTTATGACCTGCTGCTTTTCAAAGTGGATGAAGAGTGTTTTGAAAAAAGCCTTTAAAAGAAAATATGCCCTGAGGCCTTTGGAAATAACATTCTCCAATGATTGGTGTTTTCTTCAAGGGAGGGAGAAGAATCAGATGAAAAGTCAAAGTAGGAAAAAAAACGTATGACTGTTTTTCAAGAAATAGCACCGTAGGAGCCATTCCTTTTCATTTAGTATTTATTTTTAATTTCAAAATAAAGCAATCAAAAGAACCAAAAAATAAAATTGTTACTCAAATAAGACACTACAATAATAGAGAAATCTATGATTCAAACAGGAAAAATATTCCACTACAACTTCAAATTTTCAGAATTTTTGTAAACATTTCTTTAGCCTTCTAGTGGAAGGCTTCCAGCCTCCATATTTACTTGTGGCCTTGTTACACTTTTATGAAAAGGTTGAAAAGCAGTGAGGGAAACTTATCTTTCCCCCAACACATTGATACTCCTTTCTTTGTTGTTGTTCTGGGGTTTGAACTCAGAGCCTCACACTTGCCAGGCAGGTGCTCTACAACTTGAGCTATGCCCCCAGCCCTTTTTGGCTTTGCTCTGATTACTTTTCAGACAAGGTCTCTAGTTTAGAGACCATGACCCTTTTATTTATGCTTCCTAAGTAGCTGGGATGACAGGTGTGTACAGCCACACCCAGCGTTTTGCTTTTTGGTTGAGAGAGGTCTTGCTAACTTTTTGCCCAGGCTAGCCTCAAATCTGGATCTTCCAGATCCCCACCTCCTGAGTTAGCTAGGATTAGAGGCGTGAGGCACCTCACCCAGTTTATCATCTTTTCATAAAACCATCACATTGCCAGTGACTAAACTAGTGCCTGACTGTAAATTCTTAGTAAATGCACACTCCTCCACATTAATTCTCCTTTTTCCCACCTCAAATCATTCATTCTGAATTTAAACATCAAAACATTAATGAGGTCATTTTACAAAGCTAAAAAAAAAAAAAAAAAGTTGCACTTGCCTAGCATGCCCGAAGCCTAGGATGGATTCCCAACACCAAAAAAAAAAAAATTAAAAAAAAAAATCTCTCATCATGCTAAATTCTTCTTTTCAAAGTAGGTAATGGCAAACACCTGTAGTCCCAGCATTCCAGCACTCCAGAAGCTAAGGCACACTCAAGAGTTTGAGGGCAGCCTGGGCTACATAGTGAGACCCTGTCCCAGAAAGATAAAAAAAGATGATACCAAAAACTTAATAACCTTTTCATTCAAAAATTACTTGTTGGACTGGAGGTGTGGCTCAAGTGATAGAGCACCTGCCTAAGCAAGTGCCAGGCTCTGAGTTCAAACCCCAGTACTGTAAAAAAAAAAAAAAATTTTAAAAGAGAAAACAATTACTTGGCTTCCACTTGTAGTCCTAACTACTCAGGAGGTTGAGGATCTCTTGAGCCCAGCAATTTGAGACCAGACTGGGCAACATGGAGAAGAGAGACCCTGTCTCAAAAAAGAAAAAGAAAAAAGGTATTCACTGTGCAGCAGGCACTGTGCTACATTCCGAAGAAACAAGGTACAAAGGAAGATACTCTGTGGGCCTATGATCTCTGGAGAAAGCTGGCTATTGTACATCTAGTTACCATACTCTGGGGAGAGGGAGAGAAAGAAGGAAAGAGGGAAGCATAGGGTGCAATGACAGAATAGAAGAGCAAGACCTGCTGGTGGAGTGGCTCAAATGGTAGAGTGCCTGCCTGACAAGTGCAAGGCCCTGACCTAGTCAAACCTAGTCAAATAGGAGGTAAGGATACCATTAGGAAGCCTGGCTCACTTTTCATCCTCAAACCTCAAGTTAATACTCTTCATTGAAGAAAAATTTCAAATTCTGTGTCCCAGCTGAATTTTCAGATGATAGCTTTCCTTTACAGCATTTACCAAATTGTAATTTTTATTTATCTTTTGGTTATTTGATTAACATCTATGCCCTTCCACTTACCTTAAAGAGCTGCAAATTAGACAGTCCATCTTTTTTGATCCTCCATTGCATCCCCAGCATAAGGCCATGGTGTATAATAGGACCTGCTTCACACAGGGTCCAGAGCAAAGCAAAAAAATAAAAAGCAGAGCACATTTTCAAAAATTATTAAAAATTTGAAGATTGTGAGAGCAGGGCAATAAACCAAGCTCAGAACTAGTGTGATTACTCAGGCTGAATAAGTGAAAGCTGCAATTTGAGGATGTATAGGAATGAGCCCAAACAAAGAGCAAGATAAGAGACAGAACTGAGGCAGAAAGAAAGATACCAGATATAGGAAAAGGGCTAAGAGTGAAAGGTAAGTCAAAACCAATGAGGGTGAAGGAGAACAATGAACAGATTGAGATTTACTATTTTATCGTATGGCAAAGGAAGTTAGTGAGGGATTTAGGGAGGGGAAAAAGATGATAGAAGCAACCACTGATGAAAGAACCATTTATGGAAACCATTTGGTTCTCTTCTTTCTACTTTTCTGTGTTATGGAAATTTTCCTTCCAAAGACTTCCAATCTCATTCAGAGTAAAAGTGAAAAGACACAGAGTAGCTGAAGTTGTGTGTCAGGCCCTCCAGAAAACTGACCCGCAGGACTTCACCTCTTTTCCATCTCCTCACTCAGTCATACTGTCCCTCCAGTAGCTCTCCCTCTTCACATGCCTGGATCACCTTGTGAATGGAACATCCCATCACCACCCAAGTATCTACCCACCTCCTTTCCCATCCTTGCTCTTAGCAGTAACCACATATATATACAGTAAATCCCTTTCTTTGTCCTCAGGACTGCCTCCATCTTAAATACCATGATACATATTTTCTGTCTTTCCCCCTTACCCAAGGAATTTTTGTCATTTGTTGGTTGTTGTCATTTGTTGGTTGTTTGATTCCCAAACAGGGGATCTAGAACAGAGAATGCCATTAAAAAGAAATGCAATAAATATTTATAAAATGAAAGAATGAATTTTTTATGTAAGCAGTAGGAAGCCCTCTATAAACTCAAGCTGCAAGCAGTCACAGTCATTTGAGATCACCCACGCATGAAATCCTTGACCTCTTTCTTTCTCTTAGGTCTCCCCCTACTCTGAAATTTACTCTGTTCAGAGGAGGCTGGTCCTCCTGGCACCCACCTTGTGTTCATTGCTTACTGAACTGCACACAGGTGTCAGTACAGAGAAATGGTCCTCCACAGCCTTAGCAGATAGGGCTGATGCTTCTGGCCAAAGCATTGCAGTTTCCAAAAAAGTCTTAGAATTTTGTCAGAGCCTGAGTCATCAACTCACACTCATCTTCAAGAAAGTTCGGATGGGGTGGGAGTTGTTTTGCGTTTTTTTTCCCTCTGGAATCTAGGCATCCATTTTTACCTTTAGGCTGCAAGGGAGTTGAGGGTGTACCTGATCAACCAAGGACCTCCCTAACTTCAAGGGGCAGGTGGGTCAGTCTCCTCACTGGCAGGAGGTCCTTGCTTCCTTAAGCAAATAACCTGCCTTTCCCTAGGAGATCATCCTTGTATATCTGAGCCTCAGAGATGGAAAAACCCATGCAGAAACTATCTACATCTGCCCACATTTGCATCACTAAAAACCCACTTGAGTAACTCTTTGTAGTCCAAAGATCTGCTTCAAGTCCTTAAAAAAAGAAAAAAAGCAAATGAAAAACTGTTCCTACTAATTAATACAGATAAAAATAATATATTAACCTGGAGGTTCACAGTCTCCAGTAGTCATATACTAAAGTCAACATAAGGTGAAAATGTCATATAATAAAAATACATCCTTGTAAATTACCCACAAGGTGTAGTATACACTGTTTTGGTCATACAACCTGTGTAATGCCATAGGGAGTCATAGATTAAAATTTTCACATTTCACCTCTTGGAGCACTTTGGAAATTTTATGATGGCTATAATTCATTGGCTCTTTGACTTTCATTATCTTTTTAAAGATGCAGTCTAGTAATGTTCTTTGTCAAAGTTTTCTAAAAGCCCTTGGTCAATTCTTCCATTTCTTCCTCCAGGACTGTGAAGATGCTAGCACACCTCCCCATTTGACAACCAAATGATGTCTCCATGGTTAAGGAATACTCAAAATCCCTGGCACAGTATTTCCATAGATTTTGCCAAAACATACCTTTTGGTTTTAGTTGAATCCATTGCCACACGCATTAGCCTACCACACATTCTACATTGTTCTCTCTCAGACCTGCTGCAATTTAATTCTCAGATGTCAAATGTACTTATGATGCAATATAATAGAGTAGCATGGTTTTTATATTAGAAATGTTTAAACTAAGGTAATATGAACCGGCAAATAAACCATCAGTTTTGGTTTGATCTTAGCATTTCCCTGCTCACAAACCTTCAGACTATCATTTGCTATACTAAAAATGTCCATATTTCTTAGTTCTCTATTGAGGCACATTCATGTTGGACTCCATAAAATCCTTTTTGCCATTTTCCCATGTTCTCTATTATCTCACCACTGTCCTTTCCTCTTTTCTTAACCTTTATTTGTCCACACCCAGGCCATTTCTGCCTTCAATATTGTTGTCTTGGGGCTGGTTGTACAGCTTGGTGGTATTGGTAACATGCATAAGAAGACCCTGTGTTCAGTCCCTGGCACCAAAATATACACATCCGTTGAAATCATTCCCATTCTTCAAAGTTAAGTAGTCACTTCTCCAACATGGGCTTTTTGATTGAATGTCCTGTTTCTAAGTAATGCTCATTTACCCCAAAATATTTTTTAGTTACTACTCTATGCCAGGCACTGTTCTGAGTGCTTTTATTAAATAACTCAAAGATAGCTATAACTATACTTATTTTACAGGTGCAGGAACTAACAACATCTACCCCAAAATAAAGATTTCCACTAAATACATTCCTGAAAATGTTTTTTTCATGAAATATATAGTCATATGGGCTAGTGGCTGGCTCAAGAGGTAGAATGCCTGCCTAACAAGCATGAGGCCCAGAGTTCAAACCCCAGTACTGCCCCCCAAAAAATAAAAAAACCCATGTATCTGTGTGTGAATATATATATATGTAAAATATGTAGTCACAAAGAAGATTATAATTCCTCTTAGGAAGCTGAGGATTGCATTGCTGAGAAGGCTCAATATCAAATCATGGATGTGACAAACTGTAAATTGGAAAAGGAAATAGGTGACATAGCTCGTGCCTGTAATCCCAGCTGCTTAGGAGGCAGAGATTAGGAGAATCAAGGTTTGAGGCCAACTGGAGCAAAAAGTTGGTGCGATTCCTTCTAAACAAAACAAGCTACATGGGCTGGTGGAGTGGCTCAAGTGGTAGAGCACCTGCCTAGCAAGCGTGAGGCCCTGAGTTCAAACCCCAGTATCACCAAAAAAAAAGCTAAGCATAGTGACATGCACCTGTCATCCAAACTAATGGGATTAACAGTTTATGGGAGGCCATAAGTAAAAGGATCACTGTCTTGAGGCCAGCCCAGGGCAAAAAGTGAGACCCTATCTGAAAAATAACCTAATACAAAAAGGGCTGAAGAGGTGGCTCAAGTGGTAAAGCACCTGCAAGCACAAGACCCTGAGTTCAGACCCCAGTACTGCCAAAAAAAATAAAGTAGGAGTTTATAATCCTTTAAAATGGTCCATGAAAAGCCAGGCATGGTGGGTCATGTCTATAATCCCAGAACTTGGAAGTGGAAGCAGGAGGATCACAGGTTGGAGGCCTGTCTGGGCTACATAGTGACACCTTATCTCAAACAAACAAAAACTGAAATAACAAAATAATGTACAAAGAGAAGAGTGATCCAAGCTCATCCTGTCCCATCATCTTTTACAGATGAGAGTAATGATGTCAAGTGAGAACAGAATCTCTGTAGATTTTGCTAATTACCCACGGCCATATGCGTCTAATCCTCTTGCCTCAGTCATCCCACTGATAAATCCAAACAACTGCCTGTACCCCCACATAGGAGCCTGCTGATTCATCCCCAAATTCCTTCTTCCCCTGTATCCATGAGCTAGAGAAGCAGACCTTGTCCCTCCATATTTAACACTGACTGCCCATCTCCAGGTATAACCCCCTACCCCATTCTTTCTTTCCAAGCTCATGTACCATAGAGAAAAATATGAGGAAGTACACAAGGACCATCTAGAACCAGCTGTGCTCAGCCAACAGATGAGGAATGCTCAGTCACACACACCATGTAACAATAACAACAAACCTACAACTACAACAAACCTCTGCCTACTAATACAGATTCCTACAGCTTAGTGAAATGTCAGACACTTAGGAGTTTGAGACCAGGTCTCATTATGTAGGGCACACTGGCTTCAGTCAAGATCCTCCTGCCTCAACCTCCTGAGTACTGGGATTATAGACATGCACCACCTCACCCAGCAAGGAGAAATTCATGGGGTGAGTACACCATATACTTCATGCCATCAACACAACTCTTCTGGCAGACAGAACGTGGGAGCTGCTCCCAAGGTGCTAGTGTGGATGAACCTTGCAGATGTGCTCTGAAGACTGTTAGAACAGAAAACAGGTGGGAGCTAGGTAAATTTGTGAGGTTCAGGTTGGTGCTCTTCTTTCTTCCTTGATGTTTTTTTTTCTTCTTCTTCTTTTTCTTTTGATGACCCCCATATGACATTTCCCTACACCTACAGTTTTGTCCCTCTTTTATTTTTTGGTTTTGGTAGCACTGGGGTTTGCACTCCGGGCCTCACACTGGCTAGGCAGACACTCTACCACTTGAGCCACTCTGTCAGCCCCGTTTTGTGTTGGGTATTTTCCAGATAGGATCTCACGAACTATTTGCCCTGGCTCCCTTTGAACTGTGATCCTCATGATCTCTGTTTCCTAAGTAGCTAGGATTACAGGCATGAGCTACCCACACCTGGCTTGTCCCTTCTTTGATCAAAGGCACTCCCTTCAAGTTGCTTGAAGCTATGCTTTGGCTACAAAAAGTGCCCTCTTCAACACTCCTGTTCACACCTGGAACTCAGAGATCCTTGACACTGAAATCTCTCTCTCTCTCTCT